TGAAAGAGAAGTGATAGGAAAGCAGAAGGATAAAATGTTTTTTATGATTGCTTCCCAGCTTTGGTGTAATTGAACCTGATTTCTGACACAGGTGGTTTTAAGTGAGGTTAAAGGTTCCTCATATTGTTACCCCAATCAAGAAAACACAGGTACACAGTGTCCCTAGATCTGATAGTAGGAATTGAATTGTTTGCTTTGATATGATTAATACTTCATATTGCATATGGCTTTTAGTTACTTTAGGTAGTTATAAACTTATTTCACTGTATGTTTTTAACAAGCAATTCAGTAAGATAAATATTTACTATCTGGATTGAACAGATAGAAAAGGTTTTCTTATGGGTAAGAAATTAGCCCAGAGGAGGCTGGAGAGATGGCTCAGTGGTTAAGAACACTGTTCTTGCAGAAGACCTGGGTTCGAATCCCAGCACCCACATGGCAGCTAACAACTGTCCATAACTCCAGTTCCAGGGGATCCAACAGCCTCTTCTGTCCTCCATGGGCATTGCAGGACACGGGTGCACTTACCTATATGCAGGCATAACACTCAACACATAAAATAAAAATAATGAATAAAGTATTTTTTAAAAAGAAAGAAACTAGCCCAGAGATATACAGTAAAGGGCACAGCCAGCTGGAGAATGTGAGGATGAGGATGATCCCCATTTCTTTGACTCATCATATAATTCATTTCAATGTATGCAATGTGAAATTAAAGCAGAGGTAACATGTAAGAGGATGTTTGTTCCAAGGCAGTCCTGTGGGAACACAGCAAATTGGTCATTAGACAACAGAGGTAGTAGTGTTCCACAGAGCCTTTGGCTTGTTCTGTCCTTACTACCACTTCCCTTCTACTTCTCTTTCTGTATCTGGTGCGCCAAAACAGGGAAAACAGGAAAAGTAGCTCCCATTTCAGAGAAATGTGAAGATGTCATTTCCCACAGAGGTACAAAGACAAAGCTAACTATGAAAGGCCTTGGGCCAAAAGAAATGGTGGTTGGAGATAGAAGAGATGAACAACTACTCCATTCATCTTTTAGCATGTTACATTTGAGAGAAGTGAAATGACACATGGACAGCTGAGAGCAGAGCCAGAATTACATATGTTCCTTAATTCATGGTGTGATTTGCATATCAAATTTATACACTTATTAATTTTTGCATACTTTTAAAACTGTGTTGGCTGCTGATAAAACTCAGGGCCTTGTGTATGTTAGACAAGTGCTCTGTCACTGAGCTACATCCCCAACCTGAATTTATTCATCCTTTTATTGAGTACCTATGATATGCCATGATTTGGTGGTAGGCAATCAATGCAGGTGAACAGATCTCATGGCCTTTACCTAAGGAGCACATGATGTAGGATAGAAGACTTATATGAACCAAAATCTGTAATGTGGTATATGAAGTGTTGTCAGAGGTCTGTATGAGGGTTAACGAAGGCACAGCTAGAGGAATAGCCTCACTCTTGTGGGAAAGACAGATGTGACTGAGCACAGTCAAGGTACTTTGCATTCATGATGTTCTATGGTAGATGCTCTGCAGAGTAGGGTGTCTCCTCACTACACTGAGGGAAGAGAGTGGGGTATTCATGTTAAAGAGAGCATTTGTCTTCAAGAATGTGGTCTGGTCCTCTGTCAGTTAAGTCTGGAAAATTCTGTCTACTGTGTTCCTGACCCTGTGATTATCCAATATTTTTCTGTGGATTTTTTTCGTGAACTGTTGTGTTTGTATGTTTTAGGCATGAACTCCCTTTGAAACTCCTGTGAGAAAGTCCCTCTCAACCCCGTCCTCACTGCTACTCTTCTGCCTTTTCCTTCTACCCTGCTAGCCTCCACCACTGTCCGAGCCTCTATTACAGTGTTCCTTGCATTTTTGCAGTAGCCACCTAAATGTTTTTAACTTCAAATATTAAAATAAAATAAATATCATCATCTAATGAATATTTCTACAACTTTGGCAAAGGTTTCCTTTTATTTATCTATCTTATAGTGCACTTATCTGATACAACAATTTGAAGATATAAAAGGACAGATTATGAAATATACTCTTCCAAGTTTCCCTCAGTCTGCCAGCTTCTATCGGCAACTGCTATTATCAGTTTCTTGTATATTCTTCTGGAGAGACTTTTATGAATGTCCAAACAAGAATTCCCTTTTACTCCTTTTACATCTAAATAGGAATACAGAATGAAAAACTGTTCTGGTCTTTGCTTTCCACACTTGGCAGTATGTCTTGGAGCTCTTCCCCTAACACTACAGAAAGTACTTCCTCGTTCTTTGGCTGCACTGTCTTCTGTTGCAAGGAGTTACTGCTGTTTATTAAAACAGCTCCTGGATGATGTACAGCTGTAGTGTTTCCTGCCTCTGTGGTTACACTGCCCCAGTATTTTCTGATATTACTCAATCAAAAGACTTTTAGAAGGGCTAGGGGTTTAGCTCAGTTGATAGAATGCAGGCCTAGCATGTAAGAGGCTCTGGGTTTGATCCCCAGCACTGCCTAAGCTTTGGAATTGGCTCTGTCCTCCACAGCTCAGCCTCTCCCCCACCTTCTCTGATGATCTTCCTGGGCCTCTCCATTCTACAGGAACATCTTTCTCTGAGGAAACCGTAACCCAAGCTGTCTGTAGCTCTCTTTTGCCTTTTAGCATGGATATTAGTTTATATTAGTAACTTTTCTGTGATAAAATGCCTGACAGGAAGCAACTTAAGAGGAAAGTTTTATTTTAGCTCACAGTTTGAGGGGACAGTTCATCGATGCCAGGAACCCATGACAGAGGAGTTCATGGTAGTGGGAATGTGAGACTGAATGTCTTCACATATATGTGGAACAGAAAGCACAGAGATTAAAAGATGGATAAATATGTAGGTAGGATGGATAGATAGATGATAGATAGATAGATAGATAGATCGATAGATAGATAGATGATATTGATAGATTAGATTAGATTAGAATAGATTAGATGATAAAAAACAGACAGGAGAGAGATCCAGATGGAAGCAGGGTGGATTATAATCCCCAAGACTCACCTCTCAGCAACCTGCTTCCTCCTTCTAGATCCCTTTAAAAAAATATTTTATTTTGTTTATTATTTTTATTTTATGTGTATGAGTCTGCATGAATGTAAGTACACCCATGCTGTGCAATACCCTTGGAGGTCAGAAGAGGGTGCTGGATTTCCCTGGAACTGGAGTTACTGATGATTGTTAGCTGCCATGTGGGTGCTAGGATCAAACCTGGGTCCTCTGCAAGAGCAGCCAATGAATGCTCTGAGCCATCTCTCCAGTCCCTAAACCCCTTTCTTAAAGGTTCCACAACCTCCCCAAACAGCAGCACCACTGAGGATCAAGTATTTAAACACATGAGCCTATAGTGGACATTTTCATTCAAACCATAACAGCATATGTATGCACATATGAATGTCTAAACTATGTTCTTTTAAAATGGATACAAGTCTTTTGTTCCTTTGAAACAAGGTCTGAACTCTATAGCCCAGGTTGGCCTGGAACTTGCTGTGTGTCCCAGGGTGGCCTTGGATTTGTGGCAGACTCCTATGCCAGCCACCTGAGTGTTGGGATTACAGATGTGAGCCTGAATTCAAGTCCCGTTTTGTAACTACAAGAATGTGAGGTGTTGAAAGATATATGTGTGTGTGTGTGTGTGTGTGTGTGTGTGTGTGTATATATATATATATATAATTTATTATTTTTATTGTATGTGTATGCATTTATTGCGTGCATGTAGGTAAGTGCACCCATGTCATGCAATGCCCACGGAGGGCAGAAGAGGCTGTTGGATCCCCTGGAACTGGAGTTACAGACAGTTGTTAGCTGCCATGTGGGTTCTGGGATTCGAATCTGGGTCTTCTGCAAGAATAGTCAGTGTTCTTAGCTCCTGAGCCATCTCTCCAGCCCTGAAAGATCTCTTTATATACACACATATCTCCCAACCCTACTAGGTTTAATTTCTCCCTCCGTCAGTTTTGTTTTCTCATCTACTGTTCTTGAATATTCAAAATATCTTGCATATTGCTCTAAGCTGAAGCTCTCAGTGGTTTCCCTTGGACCCCTGTGTTGATTTAGCATCTTAATGCTATCCAATCAGATGGGCCCTGTGTCTCTATTCGCACCTTGCTAGATCTGGCTTCTCTTCTTAGCTAGGTGGACTTACCCGCAAGACTCCGCAAATGCCTTACATCCCTGTTTCCATGACAACATTCTTTTGCTAATACACTGTCCCATTTTCTCTTTTCTAAATCATGATTTCCCTAACCTTAGTGAAGTTAGTATACTGCAGGTTTTTCCTGCATGGTCTCCCCAGTGTCTCTAGTCATTTTAATGTCTAGGAATATTAGTAACAGTGGTAGCTAGCTTTTGTTAAGGGCTTTCTGTGTGGAGACATTGTATATGTAAATTATTTACAACCTAGAAGACAGGGATATTGCCCACATGATGTATTTATCCCATTATACTTCTTATTGATAAATACCTAAATTATACTCATTATTGTCAGACGTTCTTATTATTTATGTGTGCATTTTCCAGTGGCAAATATTATTTATTTTCAGCCACCTGAACTGCACTGAGTATTTTACAAGAATAAGAGGGAGACTGTGTCTAGAGAAAGCAAACTTATTTTAATTTTTTTCCATGGAGATGGTGGCTGATCAGGTCATTCGTACATACATTTTCTCTAAAAGTAAGTTTTAGATTATTCAGCTTGAGGAATTTTATGTGCTGGTGCTGTTACCTTTAAACCATAGACAACACTTTTGTGTTCTCCAGTTTCCCCCAGACTGTAAACTTCTTAGATGTAAAAACTTAATCTGTAATTTCTGATTGTTAACATAAATGTTAAACAAAATTTTCCACATACATTCTCTGAAATTTCCGATTGCTCATATAAATGTTAATACAAATTTTCCTGCATAGAATAGTTCAATAAGGGACATTGGTTTTTGTATTAACTTCTGCTGTGCTTTTTCTTTTCTTATTTTTCAGGAAATAATTTGCCAGAAGAATACAGTAAGTAGTTTGTTTAACTTTCTAGAAATGTTTCAATATTTTCTATTAACAAATCTGTAATCTTTTAAATCTTCACAAATTTTCCAATTTTATTTCTGTTAGTCCTTTTATAGAGCTACGCCTATATCAATATCACCACGATTATATTTTCTAAATAGCCCATTGTATTGAAACTTTATAACAATGGGAGATAATGCTAATACCTGTTTTTTGTGTATATAATTAGTTTTGGAAAAAATTTCCATAGTATATTCTATGTTAAGGAATTAGAACTGGAAAAAAATAGTATATATAATCTAAATATATATCACTAATATGTGTCTGTGCTTCTATTTACCGACCATGTATCTTGTATTCAGAGAGATTCAGGCAAATTCTTAAGTTGGTTCTTTTGTGTTTTTCCTGGTGCTGGGGACTGAACCCATGGCCAGGTACTTATTAGGCAAATGTTCTACTGAGCTAAATACCCAACCCATATCCCTGAGAATTAAAGTCTTTCTTTCAGATCACACTTCAGAACTCTAAACCATCATCCAGAATTAAATGAACATGAAAAAGTGAGGAAAAATTTAATTTTAAATTTTAAAAATGCTGCATAAAAAAGTTGTCATATGACAGTAGAAACAGCCTGTGGGTCAATGACTCTCTCTTCTCTCTCTCTCTCTCTCTCTCTCTCTCTCTCTCTCTCTCTTTCTCCACACACACATGTATATATATTTTATTAAAAAATATTTTAAGGTGAATATTTTTGTATTCCATACAGAAAATCATAGTCATCTTTATGCTCCCTTATAAAGCTTTATACTCACATATAAGGCTTTGGTGCTTAGATCCACAAATGAGGGAGAGCATGCATCTTTTGTTTTTCTGAGTCTATGCTACTTCAGTTACTATAACAGTTTCCAGTTCTATCCATTTACCTGAAAATTTCATTATTTCATCTTTCTTTACCACTGAATAGAACCCCATTGTTAAATGTATCACATTTTCATTAACCACGCATCAGTTGAGGGACACTTAGGTTGCTTCCATCTCTTAGATATTGTGGAAAGAGGAGCAACAAATATGGATGTATAGGTGTCCCTGCAATAGTCCTTTGTGTACATCCCAAGGAGTGGCATAACTGGGTCAAATTGTAGGTTTCATTCTTAGCTTTTTAAGAGTTGTCCACACTGCTTTTGATGGGGGTTGCACAAGTTTGCAATCCCACCTACAGTGAATGAGCATTTCTCTTTCTCCACACCTTCACCAGCATTTGGTATCATTTATTCTCTTGATTTTAGCCAGTCTGACTGGGGTAAGATGAAATCTTAAAGTGGTTTTGATTTGAATTTCCCTAATTACTAATGATGTTGAATACTTTAAGATGTTTCTTAGCCATTTTTATCTCTTATTTTGAGAACTCTGTTTAGATCTTTAGCCCTCTTTTAATTGGGTCATTTGTTTTCTTGATTCTTTGTTTTTTGAATTCTTTATATATTCTGGATGTTAAACCTCTGTCAGATGTATCACTGGTGAAGGTTTTTTCCCACTGTGTGGGTTTTACCTTCACTTTCTTGATTGTTTCTTTTGCTGTATAGATGCTTTTTAGTTTAATGATGTCCCTCTTGTTGATTATTGACCTTAATTCCTGAGCAAACTGGTGTCTGATTTGGAAAGTCCTTTCCTACACCTATATCTTGTAGGTTACTGCCAACATTTTCTTCTAATAGTTTCAGGGTTTCCAGTTTCACATTGAGGTCTTTGATCCATTTGGAGTTGACTTTTCTGCAAGGTGAAAGATAAGGGTCTAGTCTCATACTTCTACAGGTGGAGATGCAGTTTTGCCAGCACCATTTGTTGAAGATGCTGTCTTTCCTCCATTGTGTGTTCTCGGCACCTTTGTCAAATATCAGGTGTCTGAAATTGAATGTACTCATGTTTGGGTCTTCAGTTGTGTTCCATTGATCTATGTGTCTGTTTTTGTGCTGGTACTATGCTGTTTTTATGACTATAGCACTGTAATGTAGTTTGAGATCTGGTATAATAATCCCTGCAGCATTGCTCTTTGTGCTTAAGTTCACTTTGGCTATCCAGGGTCTTTTGTGTTTCCATGTGAATTTTAGGATGTGTTTTTTTAATTCTGTAAAGTATGTCATGGAGATTTTGATTGGGATTGCATTGAATCTATATATTGCTTTTGTTAGGATGGTCATTTTCACAATATTAATTCTCCCAATCCATGAGCAAAGGCAGTCCTTCCATCTTCTGATGTCTTCCTCAGTCTCTTTCTTTAAAGATTTAAAATTCGTTGTGGGATCTTTAATGTCTTTGGTCAGGTTTATTCCCACATTATTTTGAGGCAATTGTGAATGGAATGGCTTCCCTGTACTCTTTCTCTACATGCTTGTTATTGGTATATAGAAAAGTCACTGATTTTTGTAGATTAATTGTAACTTGCCACTTTACTGAAAATGTTGATCAGTTCTAGGAGTTTTCTGGTGGAATTTTTGGGATCTCTTAGATATAATATCATATCATCTGCAAAAAGGGACAATTTGATCTCTTCTTTTCCAATTCATACTCCTTTAATTTCTTTTTCTTGCTTTATTGCTCTAGCAAGAGTTTCAAGCACTATATTGAAAAGGAGTGCACTAGTGGACATTCTTGTCTGGTTCCTGATTTTAATGAGAATGCTTCCAGTTTTTCTTCATTTAGAATGATGTTGGCTGTGGGTTTGTTGAATATAGATTTAATTATATTGAAGTATGCTCCCTCTAGTCCAATTCCCTTTAGGACTTTTATCATGAATGCATGCTGAATTTTGTCAAAGGCCTTTTTACATCTATTGAGATGACCATGTAATTTTTGTCTGAGCCCATTTGTATGTTTTATGATGTTTATTGACTTACATATATTGAACCATCCCTGCATCTAAGCCAGGGATGCATCTCTGGAATGAAGCCAGCTTAATCATGGTGAATGATCTTTTTGATGTGTGTCTGTATGTGGTTTGCAAGTATCTTGTTGAGAATTTTTGCCTCTATGTTCATTAAGGATATGGGTCTATAGTTTTCTTTTTCAGTTGTATCTTTACCTAGTTTAGGTATTAGAGTGATGCTGGCTTTATGGAAGGAATTTGGGAGTTCTTCTTCTGTTTCTATCTTTTGGAATAATCTAAATAGTACTGTTTGTAGATCTTTAAATATCTGGTAGAATTCTGCTGTAAATCCATTTGGACCTGGGCTTTTTTTTTAAAGGAAGTTTTGTGTTGGCCTCCCCTTGCCCAAACTCTGCTGCTACTGGGAGACCACTGTGCACCGGTCCCCATCAAGGAAGGTCGGGGTGAGGAGAGAGACCAATGGAGTGAGAGGTGCCTTGGTCAGCAGTGAGTACAGCAGGAAGAAACACCCGAGAGGCTGTGTCATTGGACAGCTCATGTATTATGGTGGAAGCAGATGTTTATATAGGAAAGATTCATGGGCAAAGAGGTGGGGTTGGTTCTCTGGCAGGCAGGCAGGTAGGGGGTGGGACAGGGCTTCTAAGACTACATGGCTTTTGTCCTGTCCTCCAGTCACCTGATCTACAAGAGATCCGGTTAAGATTAAAGCATTTGAGACCTAATAGTTTTTGAGTCATCTCTCCAGCCCCTGAACCTGGGCTTTTTTAGTTGGGAGGCTTTGTATTACTGTTTTGATTTCCTTATATGTCATGAGTCTGTTTAGACTATATATCTCTTCTTGGTTTAGCTTTGGTGGTTCCCATGATTGTAGATATCCATCCATTTCTTTTAGGTTTTCAAATTTTATAAAGTATAGGTATTTAAAGTATTCCCTTATACTGTTCTGGATCTTTTTGGTGGTTGTTGTGATGTTTCCCCTTTCATCTCTGATTTTGTTGATTTTGGATTTGCTCTTTCTTTCTTTCGGTTAACTGGATGGAATAAGGTTATGTCTATCTTGTTTAGTTTTTCAAAGAACCATCTCTTAGACTCATTGATTCTTTGTATTGTTTTCTTTGTATTTCATTAATTTCTGCTCTGATTTTTGTTATTTTTTCTCATGTGCTGGGTTTAGGGTTAATTTGTTCTTGCCTTTCTAGAGTCTTGAGTTACCATGTTAGGTCATTTATTTGTGCTTTTTCTGATTTTTTAATGCAGGCACTTAGAACTATAAACTTCCCTCTTAGGATTGCTTTTAAAGTGTCCCAGAGGTTTTGTGGTGGTATATTATTGTTTTCATTTAGTTCCAGGAATACCTTTATTTTTTCTTGATTTCTTATTTGATCCATTCGTGACTCAGGAGTGTGTTGTTTAATCTCCATGAGTTCGTGTAGTTACTAGGGCTGCTTTTGGTGTTGATTTTAAGCTTTATTGCATTGTGGTCTGATAGAATGCATGGAATTATTCCAATTTCTTGTATTTCTTGAGGTTTGTTTTGTGCCCCAGTATGTGGTCAATTTTAGAAAAAGTTCCATGGGCTGATGAATAGAAAGTGTATTCTTTGGTGCTTGGATGGAATATTTCGTAGATATCTGTTAGGTTCATTTGATGTATGGTTTTGTTTAATTCAGATGTCTCTCCATTTATTCTTTGTCTAGTTGACCTGTCTAATGGAGATAGTGGGATATTGGAGTCCCCTACTGTTACTGTGTTGAGGTTAATTTGTGTCTTAAAGTCCTACAGTGTTGTTTTTATGAAATTGGGTGCACCAGAGTTTGGTGTGTATGTTTATGATTGTAATAGCTTCTTGGTCAGTTGTTCCTTTGAGCAGAATGAAATGACCCTCTCTAACTTTTCTGATTAATTTTACTTTGATGTCTATTTTGTCAGATACTTGAATTTCAACCCCTGCTTGTTTCTTAGTGCCATTAGCTTAGGGTATTCTATTCCATCCTTTTGCCTTAAGGTAATGCCTATCCTTGAAGGCAAGATGGGTGTCTTGTAGACAAAAAAAGGATAGAGTTTTGTTTCCTAATCCATTCAACTAGCTTGTGTCTTTTGACTGAGGAATTCAGTCCAT